AAGCATCATAAAGATACACAAGAAAGAAAGAAATAAAGAATACAATACACATATCATTGCGACTTTAATCATCAAATTTAAAATAGAAGGAAAAATAAATCATACATAATTGTCTAAAATGTCATATCACTTCACAAACCTATCAATATTCAAGAGCTTTCTTCTTCTTCTTTTTTTCAAGTCAAACAAAAGCCTAGGCATCACTCTTGTTGATATTCACTTCATAAATCTATCTCTATTCAAAAGTTTTCTTCATATAAAAATTAAATTTAAGAGGCATCATACATATACATAAAAAAAAAAAAGAGTAAAAAGAAAGAAAGATAAAAACAATAGTACAATGAACATATCATTAAAAAATATAAGGAAAAAGAAATCAATGCATAATTATCTAAACTCTTGTCTATATCATTTCACAACCCTATTACTATTCAAAAGCTTTCTTCTTCTTTTCCAGGCCAAATAAAAGCATGAATATAATACTATAGAAAAAATGAAGGATAACTTTGGGTAGGATGAAACAACAAATATGAATTTATATAGAAAATAATGGAGGAATACCGTAAGGTATCTTAACTTTCATATTTAATATTTAATGGTTATGAATATGAAAAGTTGAAAGTTATGAGAGTTATAACTATATGCATATTATATCTAATAAAGAAATATATTATAGTGGAGAAGGTTATGAATATAAAAAGTAGAAAATTATGAGAGTTATGAATATATAGACATTATATCTAATAAAAAAGATATATTATAGTGAGAGGTGAAAAGTTGAATTATTGAATTTAAAGTCTTTATGAGATATTGAAAATAAAATAAATAATTAAATGAAGAAAAATGCTAAAAAAAGAAGAAAAAAGATAATATATGAACGGAGGCCATAGAGAGGTGCCACATCACCTACTCTATGTTCCTCCTTTTTATATATATACTAGACATCGGAGCCCGTGCTAGCACGGGCCCAATATGTATCATTTTTGTTTCAATTTATGTGACAAAAGACAAAATTAAAGAGTTAATCAAACTTTAATATTATTTAAAAATTAGTTTAAAATTTTTAATTATTGTTAACTATGGTAAAATTTTTTTTATGTCTTTTAACATTCTAAATTGCTAATTATTGTTGTATGATTTGTAATATCTTTTATGCAATTTTCAAATAATAAAGGTTATTTCTTCTTTCTCAATTTATGTGGTACTAATAAAATTTTGAGATTCAATCAATTTTTTTGTCTTTAAAATACTCTATTGTTAATTACTGTAAATTATTGTACTTTCTAAGTAATTTTCAAATAATATATATTATTTCATTTGTCCAATTTATGTGTCACCGATAAAATTTGAAGAAGTAATCAGATCTTTTACATATTTTTATATCTTTTGAATATTTAAGTAAATAATTATTGTGATTTATAATATTTTATACAATTATTTAAAAAAAATTAAACAACAAACAAAACGAATTCATCATAGGAAAATTACCAAAGCATCCTTGAATACATCAATAATGGGTCCCACTTTTTGTTTAAAAAAATATGCATATTGGGAGGATATTTTTGTCCAAAGTAGAAATAGAATAAGTATAAAGCATTAAAGTCTTTAAAATTTTAAATTGTTAATTCTTATTGTATGATTTGTAATACTTTTACGCCATTTTCAAATAATAGAGGTCATTTCTTCTTTCTCAATTTATGTAGTACTAAAAAAAATTTGAGATTCAATCAATTTTTTTTGTCTTTAAAATATTCTATTGTTAATTACTGTAAATTATTGTACTTTCTAAGTAATTTTCAAATAATATATATTATTTCATTTGTCCCAATTTATGTGTCACCGGTAAAATTTGAAGAGTCAATCAGATCTTTTATATATTTTTATATCTTTTAAATATTTAAGTAATTAATTATCGTGATTCATAATATTTTATACAATTATTTAGTATAGTAAAATAAATTTAAAAGAAACAAACAAAACGAATTCATCATAGGAAAATTACCAAAGCATCCTTCAATACATCAATAATGGGTCCCACTTTTTGTTTTTAAGAAATTGCACATTCGAAGGATATTTTTGTCCAAAGTGAAAATATTGTGTAAAAAATGTGTATTTATTGTGATTTTGAATGTTTTGTGGGGTAATAGGACGCACGCAAAGTTAAGGTGTCTTTTTGAAAATCTGGGACAACTTCAAGTATCACTTAATGTTTTTTCTCAAAATCTAATTTACTTTCGTAAACTATGTGTCAGATCAAAATCAGATTAACAAATTCAAAAGGAATGAGTAATAAATAGCTCATACAATGACATATTTATTATTTAAAAGAAGTACTCCTTTTGGTTGAAAGCTAACAAGATAGTTACAATGTAACTAAATACTATAAAAATCTTTGCATTGTAGCTTATTATATATAGATATATATAGATTTGTGTTTTCCTTGTCCCTTTTACAAGTAATAAGGTATCTCATATATATCTGCATATATATTAGCCAATTTCTATTTCCTTGATGAATCTAGCTCCAAAAACGCGCAATGACCGACCACCTAGTTCGGCATCAATACGGACACTTTTTAAACCCTAAACACCAAAATGGACCCTCTCTAAAAACACACATCGAAACTTATAGTTCGCCTATGGGCGAACTATAATTAACAACACTTAACCCCACCATCCTTGTTAACTCCCAATTCAACCAAAATAATATTACACAAATGCAAATGGACGAACTACAATTCCTTTTATTTCTTTCTCGTGTGAATTTATATCTCTTTCTTCCTCATGTGAACTATAACTCTTTCTTCCTCACGTGAACTATATCTCTTTCTTCCTCACGTGAACTATATCTCTTTCTTTCTCACGTAAATTTATATTTCTTTCTTCCTCACTTAAATTTATATCTCTTTCTTCCTCACGTGAACTATATCTCTTTCTTCAATAATAAATATGAGTTATTCACCCCCTAAACCTCATGATTTCGAAAGTGAATAGTGATAATGCTATATATGCTTTGGTGGGATAACTGGTCAAGCCTCGTCCCTCTAGTCCTATTACATTAAATTTTTGTGTATGATTAATATTCAAATCAAATCAAATCGAAACAGAT